TTCAAAAATTCAAAATTTATAAAAATTTTAAAAATTTATCCTTTCCAGCAACAAATTCTTTAAATTACTACCTGCGAGTCGGGCTTCGTGACATGCATCGTACATTTCAGGTTGCACATCTGGATTTTCATCGGCAATCGTTTCACCGACCACTACGAAACGCTCGATTGCTGCTTCCACTGCTGATCCTATCTAAAAATGTATAAAATCAACTTCTGAAATAAAGAAAATTACTAAAATGTAAAAAAAAAATTAAAATGCATTTTATAGATATAAAAAATGTAAACGAACTAAAAAAGGCTGGGAAGTTAGGAGCTACTTAATATTTCAATCAATTCAAAAGTTATATTAAAACAATCCAATTTCTAATAAGTTATCAACAAGACCTTATTTTGGTATCATAGTATGAAAGGAAAAGAAATCTACTTTCAGAGCAGAGCGAAGAGCCTTCTCAGATCGTTTTTTACCACTTGACAAATAACTCTCCTTGAAATTCACAAGCGTGGTTATCTGAAAAAAATGACCTGTTCGACGGCTTCAGAAGGAGAAAAAACAAAGAACTACTTAAACGGCAAGCATAAAATAAAATGCACGCTGAAGATATCACTAAGAAATCCTCGGAACGGTTCCAGTTTTTCTGAGGTGCTTGTTTACAAAAAAAATGGAAGAGATCAAAGTACTAAACATGCTTAAAGAATCATTAAATCTTTCAAGATATTACTTATTAATGTGTTATGCCAATTTCATTTACAGAAGGACTATGTCAACAGTTATAGAATAAAGACCCAAATACCCTTTCAGCTCTGGAATTAACTATTAAACCTGCAACAATTACTTTTTAGGTTCTAACAAGGCAGTATATATCTATTTACCGATATAGCTGCATTTGATTTGATTGAATTCCATAAATCTGTTCTGATTAAGAAGTTAATGGAAATGCTGTAGGGAAATCTTTCAAAATCTTGTGAATTAGTAGGAAATTTTGCAGCAGTTCTATTAAATGGGTGGATAATACATTAAATGAACTTTCACCTGAGTGACAAGCGGAACAAGAGTCTGCTCTACCGATTTTGTTTTGATTTCAAGGCTCTGTGGATCGAAAGCATATGATGTATTTATTGTACCATTCGCTAGCGTGTTACTCATAGCTCTTGATTTCTTCCAAGCGCACCAGCTTTGAGCGTCAATTCGAACGTCACATACGTCACCCAGCTAAGGTTTACTGAAAATATATTTTAATATTCCACAGATCTAAATACACGAGAATCACACCGTATGTAATGGATTTAAAGAAATTTTAAAACGCTGCTATTAAAAGTAACGAATCAATGTCAAAGTCCTTTCAACAAAGTGGTATGATATAGGAAGAATATAAAGTTACACATCTAGAGCAACAAATAAATGCAGTACCACTTTGAAAGGAGCTGAAGGACTCCAATGAGGATAGACTGTTTCCAGTTTTCCAATTTGGGATAAGAAGACCCAAAACCAGTATGTTGTTGCTCACAAACACAGAAAAATTAATTGTCGAATTACAGCATAACTGATAATCCATGTTAATTCAGTCCGTTTATTTGGCCAATCCAAAATTGAGCAGCTTGGCTGCGTAATTCAAGGGTTGCGTAAAACAGCGTAATTCATTCATCTAATATAAACCTTGGCTTACTAACTCACTGAGACTTCCAAAGTGAACTTAACTGGCTTTTTCTTTCCAGACCGTATGTCTTATCTATTCAATCGGAATACACGTGGTTAGAATATATGACTGTAGTAATAAGTGGAACAGCTAACATTAACAGTGACATCAGAAGGATGATAAATTAACAAAATGACCGTCACGGTGAAAACCGATACGACGAAAAACAGACGTATCATCGCTTTTATGTAATACACGAAATACTCTTTACGCAAGATGCTCTAGGTATTTGCGTTTTTGTCATCCAATAGGACTGCAAACAGTGTCCAGCAATTGAAAGAGAGAATCACATACTGGAGAATTATTAACTTCCCTTTCAATTTAGTTAAAAAACAAAGTTAATAACAAGATAAATGGATAAATGGTGAATGGGATGGACGAAGTTCTCGGGATGACAGTGACAGGTGTCCCCGAAGTGACAATGACGGATGTCCTCGAGATAAACGTTGTCACAGGGTCTCGAACATTAACAACTGCTGGATATCATTAACTGGGTGAGATTAAAAGGAAGGGAAAGTGAGTCTATGGTCTTCACCCTTTCCGCTTCCTTTTTTTCTTTTCAGCTCTCTCTCATCAAACATTTGTTTCTCAGATAGAGTGAACACATTCTTTCCTTCTTCCATCAGTTGAAAATTCGGCGACCTGAAAGTTCTTCTGATCATTCGGATATGTGATCCATCAATGATCAATGCAAACTAATTAATCACAATTCACGCATACATTGTATTTTGGACAATAAATGCTGCGCAGAATATTTCATGGAGGGGTCACAAGAAATGAATTTCCGGTATGTTTTCCGATTCAGTTTGTGCTAGTATGCATTGAAAGGGTCATCGATCCAGCATCCTAATAGTATATGTTGTGGTACTTTAAACGGTTGTTGGGTTGAAGTCACTCAAAATGTCGTGTCGGTTGTACAACTTTGAATGGAAGGGAACTGAAAAAAAAGGGAAAAAATAAAGAAGTCCCTGGAAATTACTTCTGGGGAAGAAACTTCAAGTCACAGTCCATTTGTTGGAATCGAAATTCGATTTGAGAATAGCCATCTGATAAATTATCTTCTGCTTAGAAGCAATTTTGACCCAGACAGGATTGGCGGTCACAACCCAATTTAGTCCTTTCCATTTTTAATAAGCAGCTAGAATAACAGTTAATTTGTTAGCACTTTTTGAAGTACCCATATAAACAGATTTATTCCAACAT